GCTCCGCGTCCCTGGGCTTTCCTCAGCGGGGCTGCCGGTGTTACCGCTGCTCCGCAGACGTGTGTCTCCTTCCTTCCTTCCCTTCCTTCCAGGTGTTTGCGTGCCTGGGGACAGGGGGTCCCGTTTGCGGGCGCTGTGGCTCGGGGTGCGGTTTCGTGCGGTGCCGGGTCCGAGCCCTCGTGTCCGCGGCTCCCTCGGAAGGGCCCCCGTGCCCTGTGGGCAGCCGTGGCTTGTGTTGGTTTGTTTGAAGTGTCGATTCGGTGAAGGAAGAAGATCTGTGGGTAAAACGGCGTTGTGTTTGTGTGTCTGTTCTTGAGCGCAAACACAGTGGGGTAGGAAGCAAAGAGGTTCTTGCACCGTCCCAGGAGAGGACCCGACAGAGGCTACAGAGCAAAACCCTCCCTAGTGTTGAGGAGGAGCTTGGTCAGGAGGTGAGAAGACTTGTGCTCTTCCAGGGACAGGAAGGAGCCGGACTTGTGGTCTTTTCCACCTGTGGATTAGTGATTTGAGTAATGCACTGTAGTTGCATAATACTTTGTGGCAGGAAACTTAACAGAGGTAGGGTAACCGTGTATTTTTATTTACAAGATCTAAGGGAGTTTTTTTCTTCTGTAGTCTTGTCTTTATCAAGCAGAAAAAAAGTCGTGTTGAAATTGAGCTGAAGCATCATTATACCAGGCCAACACCTGAGAATACTAAGCTCCTCTGCTGTCAAGTCATTTCATGGTGGCCTGTATAAATTCATATTAAAAGGGCAGTTCTGAATGAAAACGCTGATATGTCAAGGATATTTTTCCTCTCATACATGCAGTGTTTTCCAGACGTGCAAAACAGAAGTGTTACAGAGCACTGTGGTGCTGCTTCGTTTTGAGCCAGGCTGTGGCCTTGGGCTTAGAGGCAAACTAAGCAGTGAAAGTAAGAGATTTCTTGTCGATCTAGCACCAAGAGTGGCTGTTTTCAAAGAGAAAGATGAGGGTACTTTGTTTCAAATAAGGCATATGTAAGAAATTGTTAAAGCCCTGTTAGTTTATTTGTGTGACGTTGGTATTAGTCACATAATTTCCCAATGAGGTATAGAAAAAGCCCTCTTACTTTTGCTATGTAGTTCCTTACCCTATGTTTTAAGTGAAATTTATTATATTATGATAGTTGTTTTAGGGGTCATTTTGATTGTAGTGTGTCACTTAAGGCTGATGTTTTTTAATGTTCTTGTTGACTTTCACTGTTTTAAATTGTTTCCAGGTATATTTGTGCTGCAAGGAGAATGTTACTGGCAAACAAGCCTGTAATTGCCTTCAGGAACATTCAGATAATAAGGCCTGTGGGATCTGGGACTGTTTCTCTTCTTCCTCCTTGCCCTGCCCCTCTTGTTTAAATGGTACTAATCACAGGGGTGTTCTGCTCTGAGGCTAGAGGGCCTGTTCTCTAAACCCACCGCTGTCAGGTATTCTTGCCGTCATGTACCAGAACTTAACACATCACATTTATTCAGTTTTTTCTTAAAAAAAATATGGAAATGTGGATGTTATGATAGGGAAAACCCTACAACATTATTTGAGGTATTATTTAATGGTATTTTACCTTTTGCCATCCTGCAAAAATGCAATGTAATGGTTCCTGTTTAAAGAGCCCTACCATTCTAACAGTTATGGGAACAAGGCACAGAAATTCATGGTACATGTTTTCTGCTACTTTTTCTGCTACAAGGAACACCGATTTTAGGCAGAGGCAGTTTGATTGGGTTAAGATAAGATGTTTTGTTTTTTTTAAGTAGTTGTTGACCATGAAAGGTTTTTTTTAATGCTTTTTAAAATCCCCATCTGTCACAATTAGGGCATAGTATGCAGACATCCCTTCTGACCCACTGAGAAATGGTCATGCTGAGTTTTGCCATGTCAGAAATGGGGAGATTTGGGTTGGAAACAAGCCTGCACCATTCCCTGGCCCTTGTGTGGGCTATAATAAGAGGCAACTGCAGACTGTTTTGTAAGTCATGTGCAATTTGCAGCTTTTTATTCTCAAGGTTTTCATTGAGGTGTGGTTTTACAGGTCAGGATGCTTCAGTGCCATCGTCTTGAAGCTGTGCTCTTGTCTTCAGGGATTTGTACTTGTCTAATAAGGGGGGGGATAAATCTCTGGGAAAGAAGGAGCCCTTCCTTATACAGTCTTTGGGATTTTTTTGTTGGTCAGAAAAAAATGCTCACAAGCATCATGGGAAGTCTTCCACCTTCCTTAGCTGTGATGGCAGGGTTTGCAGTCTAGGCAAGGATCATGTGGGTGCCTTCCAGATGGAGGACTGCTGCTGAGTATGGCAGTTCCTGTGGGAAAGGCAGCAGCGCGTGCTCCCAGACAGCAAGCAGGCAAAGGTTTTGTTTGGTTTAGGGCTAGTTGGCAGGATCTGAGCAGTTACTCAGATGAAAGAGGCTAGGTAACAGAGAGCAGGTAGGGAATGTTGAGAGCATGTGCCAGAAGAGGAAATGCTGGAATAAAGGCAAAAAATCCGAGAGTAGCCAAGTCAGTAGGAGCAGATGGTGTGCACCCGAGGGTCCTGGGTCTGACTAAGAATGAAGTGATTGAACACAAATTCCGTTACACCCAGACTCATTAAAGCAAGATATTCTCTTGGGCAATAGGATACAGCAGGGGTTGTACCTATGCAACTTTCCTTAAAGAAGGGGTCAAAGAATGAACTCAGCAAGAGTTATTTCAGTTCTGGAAAAATGCTTGAACTTAGCCCTAAAATTAAAAAAATCAGACACTTCACAGGATGGAGAAGGGCATGACAGGGACAGGACAGTGTGGTTTTTTGTGGACTGTATAATCATATCTCCCCCATGTACTGAGTCTTCAACTAGCCATATAGTGTGTTTAAAGGCAGAACCATTAAGATTTTATTTATACTTGCACAAAGTCTGTGACAGGTCTTTCACCAGGGGCTTTTAAAGTAACTCTCTAAAATGCCTGTGATCTTTTGCATTAGAGATCCATGGTAGGATCAGGGTTGTTTTGGTTTTTTTTGGTTGTTTTTTTTGTTGTTTTTTTTTTACAATCTTTATGTCAAAGGAAGGAGCAGACTAGTCACATGCCATGCAGTTATGGAGACTGCCAGAAATAGAATAAACTGAACAGCATCAACCATATTTATATTTACCCGTGTTGGTCAAGTTGAAAATGGTGTTCCCTGTGCTTTGACTCCTAGTAAAGGGAAAAAAGAATCAAATTTGTACAAAGGAAAACAAAAAATCCTGGAAAAAAAAAAAAAGGTTTAAACTCACTGGGGTCACAAAAATGTCACTGAAGTGGAGGTGATCCTATAGCATGCTTTGTTACATAGATCAGTACTTAGGAGAGGATAAGGCTGGCAGAGGTATGCTAGCAGTTGGGAGGAAGGGAGGAGTCACTGCTGTCTGTAGAAGACAACAACAGGTTCATGTTTGCCCACAAAGGCAAATTCTTTCTGGCATTTCTGCCTTTTCCTTGGAGGAATCAGTTTGATTATGCTCCGTGGGTGTACTGGGATGTCAATACTCCACGGAACAGCTGTGCCACGGGTGTTAGTGATGGCTGATTTCCCTTGTCTTATTCTGGGCAATCACTTTGTCACCCACCCCGTTTTGAAGCTGCCCATGGGCAAGTACAGCCTCTGCTCCTTGAATCCAGGAGCATAAAGGGTGTTTGTTACAGGTGCCAAGCATCACTGAGCTCATGTTTGCCTGGACTTCAGATAAAATAGTGCTTTACAGACACTGCCCACTGATCAGTGAAGGAGAGGTATTTTGTGCTAGTCTTACTGTTTGTTGGTCTTACTGCGGCCTCTGAAGATTTTGTCATAAGAAATGAGGTAGCAGGACTGGACTCAACTCATACACTGAAATGCATCTCTCTTTTAATTATTTTCTGACTTACTTGTTTATCAGTTGGCTGTCCTGATGATACCTTTAATTCCCAGTTTTACAAAGCTTAATCTTCCTTGTGGACTTGTGCTATCAGCATAGAGATCCAGTTTTCTTAAGAATATGCATTCTTTCCTCTGTGAACGAACACATGGCATTATTTTGAGCTCAAGGGATGACAAGTACTAATTGTATGATGCTGGAGCTACACAGATGCTGCATTTTATAGCTGGGACTCTCCTTCCAGCTCTGTGTGAATAGGGAACACAGACCAATGGTCTTGCTTTTCTTCCAGAGGCTTTGTGAGTTAATTTGTGTTTATCGTGACTTGTCTCTATAGTTACAACTCTACAGTTTAACCGTGGTTTTGTGTTCTAAGAGCAGAAGTGCGAATAGATGAAAAAAAATATAATTGCTATGTTGATACTTCTTTGGAAAAAGGCCAGTAGCTTTTTCATTCCATAAGTGTAAATTAGTACCTGCCTGGTTACTGGGGTGAGATTAACTGTCTGCCTCTAACAGGCAGAAAAGGATAAGAACTGTCACAGTTAAAATTGAAACTTTTTGAGTGAGTAAAGTCTGGATTTATTGGTAGTTTATTCAAGGTAAAGTTTCCTCGATAAAATTTGGCATTATGCTGGTGCTGGAAATGTGATTTAACTGTCTTAACAACAGTAAGTCCATCAAAAAGTGATGTTAGGTTAGAGTACACATGAAGAAAGCACATCCTACTGACATCTTTGAGTCAGGAAGAAACAAAAGGTGGGTACAATTTCATGTAGGTGGTACAGCAAGAAGAGGAAAGGAGAAGTGCCATTTCAATATCAATAATTCTGGCTGTAATTCCCCAAGCTGTTGTTGCCTTCCTAGAGTCACAAGCAAACCTGTGTTTATGTAAGTCAGAATACGCAAAATGCAGATTTGAAAAACATAGTAGTATGGTAAATATACATATGTAATATGTTAGGATTTTATATATATGTATATAGATTCTAAATTATACCAAACTAGAGGATAAAACTTCACCTGAAGCACTCCTGATATATTCCATTAAAAAAGAGGTCCTAGTACATATTTATTGTTTCTAACTTAAACTAGCATTTAGTAGTCACTACTTGCAAGATTAGTAGTTTTTTAGTGCCTCAGTGTACACAGAAGGTTTGTAGAAGCTGTTGCTTGCGAATTTTGTTTCAAATCATAATGTAAAACCAGAGACTCCTAGACCTGCTTGTCACAGACATTCAACAGGATGGTCAGAATTAGCCTGTTTAAGGTCTGGAGCCTTCAGTAATTAGCCCTCATTGCAACCAAGTATGAATCAATTAGTTTATTTGCCATTAAAATAATGCTTTGCTGTGCCAGTTCTTTAAAGTATCTCTACAGGAGGGATGGAGGAAAAAGATCCACTGGGCTGAAAATGAATAACCTCAGTCATGTGAGATTGCTGCAGTATGAAGCAGTGATGATGAAGACCATTTTTTATTTTTATTTTATTTTGTCATGGTACTTAGATGCAGTGGGTTCACCAAGCAGTTGTG